ATCCAGTATACATACACAAACACACACAACATACCAGATGTTATGAAGCTAATAGACCCTTCTTATAGCATAAAATCTTGCATTCTACAACTGTGCTAAGTATTTTTTTCTTTTTTTATTGATTATGCTGTTACAGTTGTTCTATTCCCCCTTTATTCCCCTCCACCCTACCCCCCATCCCCACCATCACCCCCCCTTTAGTTTATGACCATGTGTCTCAAGTCCTTTAGATTCTATATTTCCCATGCTATTCTTGCCCCCTCCATCTATTTTCTATCTACTGTCTATGCTACTTATTTTCTGTACCTTCTCCCCCCTTCTCCTCCTCCCACTCCCCTGTTGATAACCCTCCTTCAGATCTTCATTTCTATGTTTCCACTCCTGATCTAGCTGTCCTTTTAGTTTGCTTTTGTTTTAGGTGTGGTTCTTAATAACTGTGAGTTTGTTGTCCTTTCACTGTTCATGTTTCTTTAACTTCTTTTTCTTAGATAAGTCCCTTTAACGTTTCATATAATAAGGGCTTGGTGATGATGAACTCCTTGAATTTGATCTTATCTGAGAAGCACCTTATCTGTCCTTCCATTCTAAATGAAAGTTTTGCTGGATAGAGCAATCTTGGTTGTAGGTCTTTGGATTTCATGACTTGGAATACCTCTTTCCAGCCCCTTCTTGCCTGTAAGGTCTCTTTTGAGAAATCAGCTGACAGTCTGATGGGGACTCCTTTGTAGGTGACTGTCCCCTTAGCTCTTGCTGCTTCTAGGATTCTCTCCTTCATTTTAATTTTGGCTAATGTAATTACGATGTGCCTTGGTGTGTTCCTTCTTGGGTCCAACTTCTTTGGTACTCTCTGAGCTTCCTGGATTTTCTGGAAGTCTATTTCCTTTGCCAGATTGGGGAAATTCTCCTTTGTTATTTGTTCAAATAAGTTTTCCACTGGTGGCTGTGCCTTTCCCCCCTTCTGGTACCCCTATAATTTGGATGTTGGAGCGTTTAAAGATGTCCTGGAGGTTCCTAAGACTCTCCTCATTTCTTTGAATTCTTGCTTCTTGACTCTTTTCTGTTTGGCCATTATTTGCTTTCTTCTGGTCCACTCCATTGATTTGAGTCCCAGTTTCCTTTTCATTGCTATTGGTGTCCTGTGTAATTCCATTCATTTCAATTAGTTTTGCCTCCATATATTTGTCTAATTTGTCTGTATAATCAACCAGTTCTGTGAGGATCCTGATCACCAATGTTTTAAACTGTGCGTCTGTGAGTTTTGCTATTTCTTCATCACTTAGATTTATTGGCTCTGGGGCTCTGAGATCCTCCTGCGCCATTCTTGGTCTGTTCGGGGGCCCTTTAAGTGTGAGAAGCGGCGCCTTGGATTCCCAGGTCGCTGGGTTGTGATGCTATATGTGGGGGCGTGGCCAGAGCAGGGAAATGGCGACCCCCTCTGCCGCTTCTCACAGCTGGGTGCGGAGGAGCAGTGCCTTAGGTGGTTCACCTGGGCAGGGCCACTCAGAGTCGCTGGGTTATGACGCTCTATGTGGAGGTGGGGTCAGAGCAGGGAAATGGCGGCGCCCTCCACTGCCGCTTGCCGTGGGGACCTGCCGGCCTGGTCCAACCGCCCACTCCCTTGCCTGTCCACCCTCGCACAAATGCGCAACCTCAGTCAACACGCAGCCCCGGGCCCGGCTGTCTCCCCCGAGGCCGCTCGCCTGGTTGCTCGCTAGGTCGCTCACTAGGTCTGACCCTGCGCCTAGATTCCGCGGGCCTGAGTGTGTCTGGCCGAGTCCTCCTGTGCAACCCTGCTCCACCAGCCGCTGGTTTCGCCCCTTACCGGTCAGGCTGAAGAATTTGTTGTTAACGGACTTCTGAAAAGTTCAATTTTCCGTGTTCTGGCTATGTTTTCTGTTGCTAATATTTAGTTTTCTCTAATCTTGGTTGTGTGAGAAGGCACGGCACATCCACCTATGCCTCCATCTTGGCGGAAGTCCCCCTAAGTATTTTTTAACAATTTTATTTATTTATTTTTATAGAAGAGAAGGGAGGGAGAAAGAGAGGGAGAGAAACATTAATGTGTGGTTGCCTCTTGCATGCCTCCCACCAGGGGACCTGGCCTGCAACCCAAGCATGTGCCCAAGATTGGAGACTGAACCAGTGACCCTTTGATCCTCAGGCCAGCACTCAATCCATTGAGTCACACCAACCAGGGCTGTGCTAAGTATTTTTAAAACACCATGTGAAATACACCCTTTAGCAATAATAAAAAATGGCTTCAGTGATTTTTTTATATTATTTGCACCCAGAAAATACTTATTAGCTGAAAGATAAGAATAGTTCTTAATATAAAATATATTCCTACTGGATACTAGTTGTGCAATTACTTTTACTTAACTTCATTGTCACTTGAATGCAGAGAACAATCTCTAGTAGAAAGAACAATCCAAGGTAGGACAAAAATAACAGCTTATGCCTCTTAAAGCAAGAGCTGCACAGTCAAGTAAAGAGGGCGAATAGCATAAAGATGAAAAACCAGAGGTTAGGGTGCACATTAAACCAGAGGAGTTGTGGTACTGAAATTGTTTCCTGACTCCAAACTCCATTGGGTAATTAAGTGACCAGTACTTAATTGTGTTCTTCCCTTAACCAATCATAGAAGATAACCTTAGGTTATGGAAAGCTATATCCTATAGTTCTTAAACAATGAGAACTTTCTAGATATTTATGTAGCATAGGGAACATTTTAAATGATTCTGGCAGAGATCTGGATGCTAAATCACTTGGCAGGATGTCCCCTTCAGATCCTTTCTAGGCTGATAAAAAATTCTATTACTGTGTAATGGGGGTGGGGAGCAAAGAACAAAAATAAGAATATACTGTGAGATAAATATGTTAGGCATACACAGACATAAATTATGTAAAATTCTGTATAACCTCCTTTTCATAAAATATATATATGTATGTATGACAACTTTTCATGTCAATAAAAATATACTTCTATAACATTAATTCCACACTTCTCAGATATTCTGACTGAATATTCTTTTACAAGTGGACTGTGATTCACATTTTGAGGAACAATCTTTTTGAAAGATCCCCACCCTCATATTAGAAGAAATTACTCTTCCTTTTTATGTTTACCTTGTCCCACTGGCTATTTCAGTGGAATATTTCTTGTGCATGACCTATCCTGCAATTTCTTTGATGAAAAATGTTGCACTAAGTTACAAAAGGACATGATAGAAGATTAGAGAAACAACCTTAATGACTCAGATAATATTGGGCAAATTACTGAACCACAAAAACAACCTAAAGATATGTCTTAAGAGCCCAATACTCCAAGTCTCTGAATTTGCTACTCAGCTCTGGGGCACAGACACAACTGCCAATCTGCAAATACTTTTAAGAGTCTTTTTTTGTGTGTGTGAAATGCCCCTTTCAAACATTTGCAAAGAAGCAAATAAACAATTATGCAGTTAAACAAAACATATATGTGGGCCAGATCTAGGGATTTAGGGACCTAAGCCTAATGTCCACTGTTTTTCGAACTTTGCCCTAGGACTTCACTGTTCTGGAGAATAGAGTTTCAAAAATAAAACAAACCGTCTTTTTTTCTTAAAATGGTACCAGGCTATTGAGAAGAGAGGTACACAATACACATATGCATAAGATATAGGTGTATCACAGACATAGGGTGGAATTAAGTCTAAGTAGAGATAGAGAAGGTTGCCCGAAAGAAGAGTTTAAAGGGGGGTAGAGGGCCTTGCTAGGTAAGATGCCTAATGTGAGGAAATGGGCATCTCAAGAAGTGAAACAAATATATTTACATTACATTATGAAAAAAACATGCTCTTCATAAGGATCCATAAGAAGATTTAAATTACTGAATCATAAAGCAAAGGAGTGGTTATGGTAGGAGCAGCAGAAGAGGATGGGATTAGGGATGTAATAATACAAAGCCATTACCTTTGGTATCCAAAAAGCAATGGGAAACTAATGATAAATGACAGCAATACTGAAATATATTGGAAGGACTAGGGTCAGAGGAAAGAAGACCAGTGGACAGATGTCATAGTTCTGAAAAGAGATGACAAGGACTTGAAATAGGGCAATGAAAGTGAGTCTGGAAAGAAGGGCAAACTTAAAAGACACTTTTGCACAGATACACCAGAACACATGCCCATCAAGAGGGAATGGATGAAATATTGAACAGCATTGACAATGAATGGACTACAGCTACATGGATAAATCTTAGTAACAAGATATTTAGTAAAAGAAATAAGTTCCAAAATGCTACCACAAAAGATATAAATTTTTGTGAAATTTGAAAACAATCAAAACTAAACAGTATTGTTTAGGCATGCATGTATGTGGTAATCTATGAAAAAATAACATGGAAATAATAAGTATAAATGAAGATATTGGTTTCTCTGGGAGGGAAGTTGAGAAAAAGATGGTGAGCAGATTTTATTAACAGCATTATTCTAGTTCTTTGGTTGGGTACTGAATTCACAGGTTTTTAATTTAGATGAGTAGTTTGATAGTCAAGCAGTTGTGCATGGGGACATGAAGAAAATATGTCATGAGTCATGACCAAGTATAATGTTTATTTCTGTACTTTGTACCGAAAGCTGTAAGACAGGAGAGATATTTTAGGGATACTTTGGAAGTGGAATCAATGGTTTTTCCTCTTTGAACTGGTTTTAGATGAGTTCTTCCAAAGGAAGAGCCTCACTGAATGAGGCCCACGTGCTTTTACGTCTTGCGCTTTTTGCCCCTTGCCCTTGGCCATCTTTACTTTCCCTCAGAAGGGAGACTGGTGATGCCAAACTGTGGGGGTAGCAGTGAGGCTGCCCGCGGGTCTAAAGCGTTCTTATTGGCCGAGAGGAGCGAGAACTAGGCTGGAGCTGAAGCAAGAGCAAGAGGGGCGAAGGGGGCGGTGCTAAAGTGGGAGGCGGTGCTATGGGATTTAACTGGAGAGAGGCTCAAGTGCAATTGTCCGAGCCTCGCTGCGATGGCGGAGGCGCTGAACACACTCACACCGCTGGCGGCAGAGTCTTCCCCTTAGGAAGCTACCGTCTCTGTCGCCCCCTCCTCCTCCTCCTACACCGCCTGCGCGGCGGGGGCGGGGGTGGTGGCGGCCAAGGCGCTGGCGGTGGTAACGGCAGTGATTGAGCCTGCCTCCTCCGCCACCTCCACCCCTGCCAGCTCGCCTGCCGGTGGCTGTGGCGACGGCGGCGGCGGCTCTGGCGGCTCCACTATGGCGGCGGCGGGGAGGGGGGGCAGTAGTTTTAAAGTAGACACTCGCCCTTGCCTCAGAGAAGGTGAGTTCCCGTCCCGGGGTATGGGGGCGACCCCAGGTCCTTCGCTGCCTCTCTTCTGCTGGTCTGAGATCAGAATGGGCGCGGTTGGCCGCAGCCCCACCCCCCACCTGCTGTGGCGCAGTAAAGGCCAATTTCGCCCCGCCCCGCCCCGCAGTAGTAGCCCTGAGTGTTCTAGATGGACTGAAGCAGAGAGGGTCTTCCCTACTTCTACCCTCCCCCGAAAAGGAGGGGGTTCCCAGGAAAAGGAATCGCGGGTATTCTCAAGGCAGGAGTTTGATGGAGAAAAAAAAAAAAACCAAAAAACAATTTCTCTCCCAGCCAAAGCACCTTAGTATTGCTCTAGGAAGCTGAGGTGTGTTTTGATAAAGATAAAAAACAGGGTAGAAGTGCTGTAGAACTAGAGGAATAGGGAAAGGGAAGAGACACTAGCTAGGAAAGACGGATTGAAAGAGAAAAAGCCCCCCCCCCAAAAAAAATCAGAGGGATAAACCCCATCCTTTGGTGAAATTCAGCATCCTGCAGTGTAGAAACTTGCAGAAGGATATTTAATAGTTGAAGTTAGGAATTTGGGGATGTTAAAGTGTATACTTGAGCTTTCAAGTAGGATCTGTTGGATTTTAAAATCATAGGGTCTGGTGGAGGAGCAAGTTGTATTGAGGAAAGAAGAGAGGAAGAGACTGGCGGAAGCACTGATTTCATCAATCACTTTGGAGAGTTTTCTTTGGCTATTTGAGGGATTAAACCTTGTACAGCAAGGTTTTGGGGCCCATTTTTAAGATGGTTTTGGTTTTAATAAGTGCTGTTGTACCTACAACACACACATATTACTCCTAACAGAAAAATACATTTCTTGACTATTTCAGTCTAAGTGGTAATTTAGTTCACACAAAGTACTATATACTTGTAAACAGCCTACTAATAGCAAACTAAATTTGCCATTGTGTTTTAAAGCATCTTTGGAAGTACTTCTTAGATGGTTGAAACCAATTCCGCTGGAGATCTCTAAAGCATTTTGTCATCGTAAATTTTGTATTAATTTACAATATTTGCTGTGTTTGTTACCTTATGTTGCTAACTTGTCTCCAAAGTGAAAGACCATGGATTCCAAAATAAAGTAGAATAATATAAATTCCTTTTTCTTAGGAGGACACCTCATTGAAATGGCCCCATAAAATGATTTTTCTCTTTACATTCTTAAATGATATATCCTTGTGTGCTCTTCCATATCCTTTCACACCTTTTGCTTTGGAGGAGAAGCAAAGCAGTAAAAAAATGCCTTTTGATATTTGTCATGGGCACATTACACAAATGCTACTTATTAATATGGAAATTAGAAATACAGTGTAATATGATGACTTTTTAAATTAACTCACTTACTGAAGGCAACCTTTAAAATCCTGTTTAATGTCTTCAGTCAGCCTGGATTTGTACTGGGATGAAAATATGAAATCTGGGTTTTTTGTTAGTATACCAAACTTTCTGTCTATAACCAGCAAGGAAGAGAGAACAGTGTTCTAGGTGGTCAAGATCACAATTCAGTTTGGCTGCCATGGCCTTTTCACAGTAAGGTTTAGGACTAGTATTTCATGGAGAAAATGGCTTTTTGCCTGGCTTGGTTGTAGTATCTTTTAATATATGCAAGTATTAACAACTTTAAGAGATAAAAATTCATAAACTTGCAGTAATACCCTGCCTATAATATTGCACACTGGTCAAATGAGGAGAGTCCTAGTGTATGAGCCTGGTGCAGTGAACCTAGGTTCTGTTGTTAATTTACTAAATTTTGTGAACAGATCCCAAGCTTCCTTTGGTATTTGGGTGTTGACATGTGCGAACTAGAGATTTTGGACTAGACAGATTCCGAGGTTGATTTCAGGTCTGAACCTATGCACTACGACTTTACATTTCTGCATTAATATTCTTTCAATGACATTTCCATGGCTGTGCACTAGAACAGTGATTTATATTCCATAAGAAACCTTTCCCAAATACTTATCATGTGATATTAAGTGAGTAATAAAGTTGGTGTTGTTAGTGATGAGACAATCTACTAGAACATGAAAAACCAGATATAATTGCTACCTAAAACTAACATTTCATTTAGGTAAATATCTTTCATTAACTGTTCAGACCAAACAAAACTCTCTTACCTTTTCACTTAACAAATGATAAATACTTGATATAGTACACTGCCTAAAACACTATTAGGTCTCAAAGTATTTTTGTTTAGATGTTTGTAAAGGCCATAAATGCTTGCTGTGTGTGGTAGTGGATAAAAGACAAGACAGAAAAATATTGCTTGGTGGTGTGCCAATATCTTTTCTTTGTTTAAGTCCTAGTTAGGAAATTCTCTAAAAGGTGGCAGAGAATTGTCAGAGACTCCAATTATTACAAGTCTAATGCAAATAGGACCATTAAAAGTGGCTTGCTATGCATTGGGTGATTCATTTTCAAGGATAGCTAACATTCCTGAGGATCTTAATGTCTTGGGTTGGTAATGAGCAAATGTCAGTAGAGATTAGAAATTGAAAAGCAGGGAAGATTAGAAGCTTTCACAGGTTACAAATCAGAAATCTGTCAACTAACCTTAAAACAAAAACAAAAAGCAAAAGAAGTGCCTTGTGACCAGACATATCAAAAGACACCCAAGATTCATGGTAAAGGAAGTATTGAGATTTTGTAGGGCACTTATTATTTCATTCAGTGAAGTTTTTTAAAAACAAGTTCAGTGGCTCAGAAATGAGTTTCCCACCCCCTCGTATTGATGTCCATGGTGTAATCATAGCAAAAATCAAAACAAAAATAAACAAAACCCCTCTTGTATACCTCTTTAAGAAAAATACATTATTAAATGGCTTTTGGTTTAGAGCGGAGGGCATTCTGTTTTTTTTAAATTAATAATCCATTTGCACAGCAATTACTTAACAAGGCTTTCCTTTGTTTCCATATTATTCAGTCAAGTTCCAAGTTTACCATAAGAAATTTAGTTAATAGCCTTCCCTTTATTTTTTCAGGAATCATTTATTGAACACCAGTGTGTGTGTGCCATACACTGTGCTGAATGCTGAGGATATAGTTATGAATTAGACACAGTTATATTAAAGATCTTGAAATAGTGCTTGATAGTAAAATTATTAAATGAGTAAATAAGATCATTAAGGAAGTGCAGTTTTAAATATAGCTACTCAGACTCTTAAGTATCAGAACTGTTTCATTTTTTATTATGTCTATACTCTTCCCATGGTCATTTACTATAAGAACACTGAAAACATTATATTGTAAATCTAATGTTGGTATCTAAAAAGAATAACTAGCAAGTTTTAGAAGTAATTTTTAATTCTCTGCATTTGGCAGTGTAGGGAATGTCTGGAGAAAGGTTAATGGCCATTTGTTACTTTCTGATCCTCTACCTTTATTAGGTGTCAGTATGTGAAAATATTGACTAAGCATGCCCCTTACTGTATCCATCACCTATCTGTTAGGATTATTTTCTACCTGCAACCAGTCTAGCAGATTCATTCACATTTATTAACCTGTTGGAATGAAGGGCATAGTAGCTTTCTCATGCCAGGGAGCTGCAATAGGATCAAGTAAATTAATGGATTTAAACAGGATTTGAACTCAGTTTCTTAAAAAATATATTTTATTGATTATGCTTTTACAGTTGCTCCATTTTCCCCCTTGACCCTGCACACCCCCTCCAACCCGCATTCCCCACCTTTAGTTCATGTCCATGGGTCATACATATAAGTTCTTTGGCTTCTACATTTCCTGTACTATTCTTAACCTCCCTCTGTCTATCTTCTACCTATTTATGCTACTTATTCTCTGTACCTTCCCCCTCAATGACCCCTCTGCTGATAACCCTCCATGTGATCTTCATTTCTGTGATTCTGTTCCTGTTCTGGTTGTTTGCTTCGTTTCCGGTTTAGTTTTTGTGTTAGGTTTGGTTGCTAATAACTGTGAGTGTGTTGTCATTTTACTGCTCATATTTTTTATCTTCTTTTTCCTAGATAAGTCCCTTTAACATTTCATATAATAAGGGCTTGACGATGATGAACTCCTTTAACTTGACCTTATCTGGGAAGCACTTTATCTGCCCTTCCGTTCTAAATGATAGCTTTGCTGGATAAAGTAATCTTGGATGTAGGTCCTTGCCTTTCATGACTTGGAATACTTCTTTCCAGCCCCTTCTTGCCTGCAAAGTTTCTTTTGAGAAATCAGCTGACAGTCTGATGAGAACTCCTTTGTAGGTAACTATCTCCTTTTGTTTTGGTGCTTTTAAGATTCTCTCCTTATCTTTAATTTTGACTAATGTAATTATGATGTGCCTTGGTGTGTTCCTCCTTGGATTCAATTTCTTTGGGACTCTCTGAGCTTCCTAGACTTCCTGGAAGTCTATTTACTTTTCCAGATTGGGAACTTCTTCATTATTTGTTCAAATAAGTTTTCGATTTCTTGTTCTTCCTCTTCTCCTTCTAGTACCCCTATGATACGGACATTGGAACATTTAAGGATGTCCTGGAGATTCCTAAGCCTGTCCTAATTTTTTTTTGAATTCTTGTTTTTTCATTCTGTTCTGGTTGAATGTTTTTTTTTTCTTTCTAGTCTACACCATTGATTTGAGTCCTGGTTTCTATCCCATCACTATTCATTCCCTGTACATTTTCCTTCATTTCACTTAGCATAGCCTTCATTTTTTCATCTAATTTGTGACCATATTCAACCAATTCTGTGAGCATCCCAATTACTAGTGTTTTGAATTGTGCATCTGATAGGTTGGCTATCTCTTCGTCACTTAGTTGCATTTTTTTCTGGAATTTTGATCTGTTCTTTCATTTGGGCCATTTTTGTCTCTGGGCGCACCTGTTATGTAGTAAGAGGCAAAGCTTTAGGAGTTCACCAGGGTGGGGCAACCCATGTCACTGTGTTGTGATGTTGTATGTGGGGGAGGGATCTGAGAGGGAACAATGGTGCTTGCTCCATTCTCTGCTGGTTTT